CAGAGATCTCGCTTGTGACATTAGCTTTGCCATTAAGTTGCCCTGAATGCTGGTTCATATCAGTTCTCCTCTCTGGGCCTCAGTCCCCCCACCCAGGAAACAAACCAAAAAACGTGAACTTCAAGGTCTCAGTCAATTCTAAAATGCTATGATTCTATTTTTGTGGAGATCTGGTAGATCTGTTTAAAAACCAGTCACAACCCACTTCACCTTATACCTTGTATGTTTCTATAAAGCCCATAATATAAATTTTGCGGCAGATTCACTTCTTACTTGCTTAGACAAATACTAAAATTAGTTTTCACTTCCTGAGTGCAGCAAAAGACAGTTAAGGGAGGCAATCCGGCCAAGGGCGCTTGCTCTTGCCCGTGTATACTTCCGACTGCGTATCAGGGAACTAGCCACTGCCTCTAAAAGCTAACCTCAACTGTTGCAAAAGCAGAGAAACCTCCCGTGCATGACACAGAAACACTGGCCGAGACAGACCATCGAGGCCTTGCGGCCAGTGCCGGGCTGCGGCCGCTCCGCCAGGGCCCACCGGGGATGCGGCGGGCGCCCACTTCGCGCAGACTGCCAGGACGAGGACCAGCCTCGGCGCGTCGCCGGAGAGGCAGGGCGGCCGACCGGCCCGCTCACCGCCCCGGGACGGGGAAGCAAAGTCCAGGCAGTGGCTGCGACGTCCGTCCCCAGTTCCCCAGCCCGCTAGCCACGATTCCCGTCCCGACCTTCGCCTGCCGCCGCCGGGTATCTTGGGCAAGGAGAACGGGGGGAAGCCTGAGGCACCTACCTGCTGCTCCCCGGCCGCAGCCCTGCCCCGCGGGGACAGCGAAGGCGCTGGGGTGAAACCCCCCAACTACCCCCGCGGGTGCGGCGAGATCCCGCGCAACCCGCCGGGCCCGGGAGTCCCAACTTCCTCCTGCCGACTCCCCCACCACGGGTCCCCGCAGCACCTGGCTCGGAGCCATGCCAGCCGCGAACACGCACCCACCTTGGGCTCCGGGCGCCACCGCCGTTGCCAGGCTGCTCTGCTCTGGGGCCCTGCTCCGCCCCCTCCGGGGACAGCCTCCCCGGCCTCTCCGCCCCCGGCCACCGCCCGGGGCCCTCCTACGCGCGCCGGTTGGTGGTGCTGAGTCACGTGGTGGTCGGGGTGGGAGTACCGAGGGGTGGGACTCTTTGCCCTCAAGGCTGCTGGGAAACCCTCTTTGAAGGGCCTGGCTCGTGGAGGCAGCTGGGAGCTGTAGTTCGCTATATGGTGCCGGGAATAGGCAGGGCTAAGATGTCAGCGGCCACCCCTGTAAGGGAAGTTGGAGTGGTGACGAGCGGAGGCCTCTGGGAAGCATAGTCCCAGGACTCCTGTCTCGGTCTCACTGTTGTCTAATAAAGGGGAAATCCAGAGGGAAACTTCTCTAGATAAGACTTCAGCAGATGTCACTAAATTGAGCTATTATTGCGTACATATAAAGTTGACATACTATAAGGGGAAAACAGAAATTTCACTGACTCTGGTGCAGGATCTGCAATTCACAAAACCAGCTAACAGCTGGCGTTTACTCATGCTGAGCCAGCACCTTTCCAAGAACGTTATTGAGAGTTACAGAAAGGAAACATTTCAGACTGAAAATCCTTCTACTTTTTGAGATTTGGGTCAGACGACCAATACTACAGTAAAAAGGAAAGGAAAGGGAAAAAAGAGAGAAGGAAGACAAACTTCAAGAAGAGAATTCAGTGTGTAATCAAATAAAACAAAACTTAATCTGGTGCTCGTGCTGCATAATAATTATACATGAGCAGTTCGAGTAAATAGATTACTTTATCATGACCTGTTTTTTTCTCTTATATTTTTTACTTCGCCGGCATCTAAAAACAGCTGTTGTACCTGATACCAGTATACATGTTATATGCGTCTGCATTTATAGACACACCCATGTAATATACATATATTCATATCATTATATATACATATATATATATACTCTATTAAAGAGCCCAGACTTCTTAAATAAACAAAACAAGGCCCCTTCAGAATACAACACAACCCACTCTTTAGCCACTCCTCCCATGTGCTTCTTTTCTTTTCACCCCAAACTCTGGTCTAGTTACAGAGAACTTCTTTCTATTCTCTGAATGGCCAGGTTCTTTCCTTCCTCCAGCCCTTTCCATTTGTCCCTTTCTCCTGGATTGGCCAAACTCCTGGAGAGGCAGCAAAGTAACACTTGCTGCTGGGCCAGCCTCCTCCCTCCCCAGTCCTTCTTATTGTACTGATGTCATCATTTGCTTACTGTCTGTCCTGCCAACTTGCCTCCCCAGACTGTGAACTCTTTTGAATCTCATTCACTTTTGTGCTGGATTTTAAAGCCTACTCAGTAAATTTGCATGCCAGAGAGGCTCCCTGTTGGGCTTATGAATAACTCAGGATTTGCAATATCTGTGAATCTTGGGGGAGGAGGATAGAGGGAAAAGGGGATGGGAGGAGGGAGGGCAATGGTGGGAGACTGTGTATACAGTAGGCACATTTAAGTGTCCAACGATGAGGCAGAAGCCCTTTGCTCTAGCTAGAGGTTGGGGGTGGGGAGGGTACAGAGCAGAGAGAGTCCTCATCTTCAGGAAGTAGTTCCTGGAGAAGCTTTCTCCAGGGTCCAGCCTTGGTCCAGCTCCAGCCTGGCCCCGCCTCTAGAAAGACACCACCCAACCAGAAAGTAGTGAAGACTTGCCTTTGGCCTATGAAATGGAGACAGTGAACTCTGCTGTGTCTGCCTCAATATAGGTGCAAAGATCAGATGAAGGAACAGATGTGGAAACACTTTGAAAACTGTAAAGGTTGTGCACTATGGAGGAGTCACCACCTTGCCTTTGGTAAGGTCGCTGTTCTTTTAGCCAGCTCTTGCCCTCCTCCAGACTAGGGTTGCACTCACAGTTCCAACTGTGTATGTGTATGTGTGTGTCAGTGTGTGTCGAGGGGTTCTTTAGGCTTCCCTGTGTTTTACACACACACACACACACACACACACACACACACACACACGCACACAAGCACATGCACACACCCCAGATGCAGGCAGCCTATGGGGAGATGGTTGGCCTCCTAGTCCAGAGCTCCTAGACCATAGAGAGGGGTTGGCAATAGATGTGACCTGAGGTTGCTTCTTCAACAACATTTTCAGGTTATATACATCCTACACCTATCACAAAAGTCCTCCTTTTGCTAAGGCACAGGATGGAGGCATGTCCTACTCTCAGGGGCTTCATTCTGCTCTCTGAAGTTGGCAGAAGTGGAGCAGCAGGACCAGGAGGGACCTGCACTCTTGGTCTGGCCTGGTATGCCCCGTACCCCCACACTCACCTCCTACCTCCTGAATGAGAGACAAAATGGCCAGTTTCCTGGTCCTCTCCCTGAGCACACTCACCACCTGGGCCCCTGGGCTCTGATCTCCCAGTCCTCACTCCTGCCTCTGCTTAATCCTGCCAGGCTCACTGTACTGGGCCTGGGATAGGGAAAGGTGGAGGAAAGGGAGGGACATCCTTATGAAGGAAGAAGAAGGCTTAAGAAAGAGGTGATCAGAAATGAAAAATTAAAAGTGTTGCTGGGAGGCACCAGGCTCTAGTAGAAAGCAGTTAGAATCAGGAAACTTGATTCAGGTTCCAGAAATTCTATAGGCAAGCTGTCAGCCTTGGGAAAAATCACTTCATCTCTCTGATCATTAGCTACTTCCCCTGAAAAAAGGGATCAAATGCTACTTCCCAGGGTTGTTGTGTCCTCTTGAGGATAGATGTAAGTGTGATGTATAGCATATCAAGGCAGCAACATTCCCAAACTGCCACTGGGGAGAGAGGTGGGAGCTGGCAGGGGGTAAGCCCCTGGGCACTGACACAAAGGTGCCAGGGTTCAAATCCTAGCTCTTCCATGTGTTAGGTGTGTGACTTTGGGCAAATACATTGCTGCAAGCCTCAATTTCCTCATCTGTGAAATGGGTTTATTAGTATCTCTTTCATAACCTTGTTGTAAAGAATAAACACATGAATGCCTAGGACTAACTTCTGCTTTAGAAGAATTGCAAAACAGCTCTGCCTACCTTCCTCTCCACACCCCAACCTATACTTTAAAAGCAGCCTCAGCAGGATGGTACAGCCACTTTAGAAAATAGTGTGGCAGTGAATTATAAAATTAAATGTATACATGACTCAGCATTACCATTCCTGAGTATTTATGCAAGAGACATGGAAATTTATGAAATCTTCACAAAAGACTTATATTCAAATATTCATAGCAGCCTTTTTCAGAAATAGTTGTCAAAGATAAGCAACTCAAATTCCCAACAACTAGTGACTGGCTAAACAAATGGTAATGTTTGCATTCAATAGGATATTACTCAGCAATAAAAAAGGAAGAACTATTGATATATGCTAAAATGTGAATGAATCTCAAAAATATACTAAGTGAAATAAACTATATACAAAATATTATGTACCATATGATTCCATTTACAATACAGTTTGGAAAAGGCAAAACTATAATGAAAGAAAGCAGTTTTATGGTTGACTGGGGTCAGACGTCAGGCCTAGAGTTGTGGGAAGGAATTGACTCCAAAGGAGCAAGAGGAACATTTTTAGGAGTGATGGAAATGTTCTATATCTTGATTGTAATGGTGATTATATAACTGTATACAATTGTCCAAACTCATTATACTATAAACATGAGATGGGTGAATTTCCTTGTAGATAAATTATACTTCAATAAAGCTATGGCTTAAGGGGCAGGGCAATGGTGGTGGGAGTAACCCCAGTTAAGGATCCTAAAGCTGCCCAGAATTGTCAATCTATTTTTTGTTTGTTTGGTTGGTTTTCTAAGAGGCCCCAGACCTTGAAGGGAAGAGGGTAGTGAAGCTTCTCCTACAAATAACAAAGATGTGCTGCACAGCAAGAGCTTGGTTTGGGCTAGGGAAAAGCACCCACCAAGAAAAGATGGAGCCCAGCCCCATGTTGGCAGGACAGAGAGTGCTTACCTGGATGGAGGAGGCCTGGGAGCCGTGCATGGACAAAGGGAATGTTACCCTTGCGGGCTCCAAGGACCAGAAATTTCCCTCATCTTCTCTCTGGGAACTGCCAGTGATCTGCTTCCGGAGTACTGGAACACCGTGGGAGTCAACCTGGACTCTGTTCACAGGCAGATGAGAGCACTATTGCTTCTTGCTGCTGTTTAGTTTCCACTTTCTCATAGAACTCAAAGTTGAGTTGGGGCCTCCTTGGGGAGGCCGAGCCAGTCAGCGGGTTCTATTTTGCCAGGTGCTAGATGGAAGTTTGAGCCAAGTAATGGGACATGAAAACATTCACACACAAAGAGAAACCCAGGTTCTTTGTCCCAGGGATTCTTGGACACAGAGACCAGACATATAAGGCTTTTGATTATGACATCACAATGTCCCCAATGGCCAGCCCTGTTTGCCTCCCTCTCTGCTAGGCAAATATAGGATGTTCATGGAGGATTTTGAGATCTAGTTCACAAGCAACATGGGGAGAAAATTGCCCTAGGCCCCAGTCAGATCACAAATCAAACCAAAGCCACTCAGAAGGAAGGCCAAGATTCCCTCCCTCTGTCCTCGATTATGAGTTTGTTTTTTTTTTAATCTGTTTCTTGCAATAATTTTTTTTTTTTTTGGCAGTAAGCCCTGTGAGGAAACGTTTTATGATACAGTCAAGTGTGTTTCACTCAAAACAGATTTTTAAAAAAGAACTTTATCTTTTATTTGAAGGGGCTGGCCTGATTCATGCTGACATGCAGAGTATGCTACTTTTTAAACATAGAAAGATTTGGAGACCCAAGATTAAAATCAAAAAGAGAATATATGAAAAAGGGAAAAACTAAAAGACGAAAAACTTGAATGTCAGAAAATATTTGCTGAGCCTGAATGAAATTGTGTTAAGATTAATTAATAAAAAATAATAAAATACTTAGGAATTAACCAAGGAATCAAAAGATGTGTACACTGAAAACTACCAAATATTGCTGAAAGAAATTAAAGAAAACACAAATAAATGGAAAAACACCTGTGTTTATGGATTGGAAGACTCACTATTGTTAAGATGTCATTACTACCCAAAGCAATCTACAGATTCAATGCAATCCCCATCAAAATCCCAATGGTGGTTGGAATTTTTCTTTTTCTGTTTTCTTTTCTTTTTTTGAAGAAGTAGAAAAATCCATTATAAAATTCATATGGAAATCAAGGAGTCCCAAATAGCCTAAACAATCTTGAAAAATAAGAATGAAGTTAGAGGTTTCACTCTTCCTGATTTCAAAACTTATTACAAAATTTCAGTAATTAAAACAATGTGATATGGAATTAATATCCAAAATATATAAAGAACTCCTACAACTCACACCCATTAGGATGGCTACTATTTACAAAAAACAGAAAATAACAAGTATTGATGAGGATGTGGAGAAATTGGAAACCTCATGCATTGCTGCTGGGAATGTAAAGTGATATGGCTGCTATGGAAAACAGTGTGGCGGTTCCTCAAAAAAATTAAATATAGAATTACCATGATCTAGCAATTCCACTTTTGGGTATATATCCAATAGAATTGAAAACAGGGTCCTAAAGATATATTTGTACATTCATAGCATAGCAGCATTATTCACAATAGCCAAGAGGTAGAAGCAACCCAAGTGTTCATTGACCATCAAAGGAGGAATGTATAAACAAAATATGATGTATACACAACGAAATATTATTCAGTTTTAAAAAGGAAGGAAATTCAGACATTTACTACAACATAGATGAACCCTGAAGACAATATGCTAAATGAAATAAGCCAGTCACAAAAAGACAAATACTGTATGATTCCACTTATAGAGGTACCTAGAGTAGTCAAATTCATAGGGGCAGAAAATAGAATGGTGGTTGCCAGGAGGGGGAAAAGGAGAGTTGTTTAATGGGTAGAGATTTCCAGTTTTGCAAGATGAAAAGAGTTCTGGAAATTGACTGTAGAGCAATGTGAATGTACTTAACACTATTGAACTGTACACTTAAAATTGGTTAATTTTATATTATGTATATTTTACTACAACTGAAAAAAAATTAAGTTTTCAAAAGTAGCTTGAGCTAAAGGGACCAAAAACCCAGACTCGTTGACAATGTGTTCTGTGGTTATCTCAGATGTGATGGTGCTTTTCAAGATCAGCTTCCACCCAGGACAGGAAGTCTCACGTTCTGCTTCAGAAACAAGCCTCCCACAGGGAGCCAGAAGTCCCAGGCGACTAGAAAAATGAGGAAGCAAAAACACGTATTCTTCCAAAATAAATACTACCCCCTCTCCTTTGTTTTATTGCCAAAACTCATGAGAATTGTGAAGGTGGGGGTGGGGGCATCTTTTCCCAGAATGTCTTCCCAGATCCCTCCTCTCCACCCAAGAGAACAAACACCAGGGAGAAGGCTGGCCAGGGTGTGCAGGGGAGCAGGATGCAAGGGAATCACCTCCTAAGGATGGAACTGCCTCCTAAGGATCCCACCCAGCAGGGGGTGGGAGCTGCAGTGGAGTTCTTTGAGAGAGCCAGCAGCTACAGCTAGAGCCTGACCAATGCACTCCCTTTCCAGTTAGAGCTTCCAGATAACTTCAAAGAAGTCATTGACCAATGGGGAGGCATGTACACCTGCAAAGAAGCCTGTTGACCCTATGAGTCTTCAGGTAGATGCCTCCAGGATAGCTATCTGTGAATAGAAAGGAGTCTCAGCCACCTCCTATCTCGCCTTCGTTTGGCCCCTAGAGAGTAAAATACGTGGCCAAGCAGCAGTGTTTCTAGTGACAGCTGTAGACCACCCACCTGTCCTTCCTCACACCATGGGGGCTCATGGGAACAAAGCTGGTGTGCTGAGGAGTGAGAGCATTGGCAACTTTCCAGACTGCTCATAGAGCACCAGGACAGCTTGGGCTCTCAGTGCTGCATGTAGAAACCTACCCATTTAGGCTAAGTGCCCCCCAAATCCCCAACTCTCATCCTCCCACCCCCGACACAGAACATTCAGCATTTTCTCTTTTAACATGAAGATATAATTTATACACTATAAAATTCACCCATGTAAAGTGTACAATTAAATGTTTTTTAATATATTCACAGAGCTAGCTGCACAACCATCGCTTCTATCTATGTCCTGAACCCCCAAAGAAACCCCATATCCATTAGAAATCACTTCCCATTTCTTCCTCCCCCCATTTCTCCCTCTCCATTATCTCCTGGCAACTACTTTCTCTATGGATGTGCATACTCTGGACATTTTGTATAACTGAAATCATACAATATGTGGCCTTTTCTGTCTGGCTTCTTTCACTTAGCATCATGTTATCAAGGTTCATCTATTTTGTAACATGAATCTTTACTTCATCCCTTTTAATGGCTAAATAATATTTCATTGTATATAAAGATGTACCACCTTATATTTATCCATGCATCTGCTGATGGACATCTGGGTTGTTTCCACCTTTTGGGTCTTATGAATAATAGAGCTATGAACATTTTTTTATAAGTTTTTGTGTGGACATAAGTTTTCATTTCTCCTGGGTATATAGCAAGGGGTACAATTACTAGATCTTTTGGGAGCTTCATGTTTAACATTCGTGGGAAGTGCCAGACTGTTTTCTAAAGAGGCTATACCATTTTACATTCCCACCAGCAACATATGATGATTTCAATGTTTCCATTTCCTCACACCAACACTTGTTATTATCCATCTTTTTGATTATAGCCATTCTAGTGGGTGTGAAATGATACCTCATTGTGGTTTTAATTTGCATATTCTGATGACCAATGAAGTTGAGCATATTTTCATTTGCTTACTGGTCATTTATTTGTATATCATCTTTGAAGAAATGTCTAATCAAATATTTTGCTCATTTTTAAAATCCAGGTAATTTGTCTTTCTATCATGGAGTTGTAAGAATGTATGTATTTTGGATACAAATCCATTACCAGATATATGATTTGCAAAAATGTTCTCCCATTCTGTGGGTTGTCTTTTTACTTTATGGATGGTTTCTGTTGAAACAAAGAAGTTTTAAATTTTGATGAAGTCCAATTTATCTAATTTCTTATTTTATCACTTGTGCTTTTGGTGCCATATCAAGGAAATCATTGTCAAATCCAAGATATAGTTTTAGTTAGCTCTTACATGTAGGTCTATAATCCACTTTGAGTTAATTTTTGTGTATGATGTGAGGTAGGGGCCCAGATTCATAATTTTTCATGTGGATATCCAGTTGTTTCAGCACCATTTGTTGAAAAAACTAATCTTTCTATCATTGAATTATCTTGGCACCCTTGTCAAAATTTGGCTGACCATAAATGTGAGGGTTTATTTCTGGACTCCCAATTCTATTCCATTGATCTACATGTCTATCCTAATGCCAGTGCCACATTCCTTTCTCTTTTCTCTCCAGGTTCATTGGGAAGCTTCTAATATATCCTGTGCTTTCAGGTTTTCCAAACACTCTCAATTCTTCTTCTTATCTGGTCTACACAATAACCTTAGGAGACGAAGAGGGTAATCATCCCTCTTTTACAGATGAGGAAACGGAGTCTCAGGGAGGGTGGGAGTCTCTCAAGGTAATTGTGCTGGTAGGTGGTGCAACTGGGACCAGAACCTGTTTTCACCTATAAATCCAAGCTCCTTCTTGGACAGCACACTTCTCTCTTTAAGAGATATGACTTTGTATATCTACACAATAAAATACTATCCAGTCTTAAAAAGAAGGAAATCCTGCCATTTGCCACAATGTGGATGAACCTGGAGGATATTATAAGTAAAATAGGCCAGGCACAGAAAGACAAATATTGCCAGAATGGTGGCTACCTGAAAGTGGAGGGGTGGAGAGTTGGGGAGATGTTGGTTAAAAAAAATCAACAAACCAATATTTTTTTTAAAATATAGAGTTGAAGATGTGCTATTTGACACTTTTCAATAAAAGTAGCTCCCAGGGCTCCTCTCCCCACCCTACCTAGTTCATAAAAGTTTTGTGAGACTCAAGATAGCTCATGTAAGTATAAACCTTTCATAAACTGGCAAGGGCTAAATATATGTGAGGGGTTATTAGTCATGCATTTCTATAAGAACTCTTGCCTGAAATCATCTGGATCAGAGGTGGAAGTGGGCCATTTCCTACACCTTCCTGCATACTGTGGCTGTAGTAGGACAGCGAACTACTATAACTATATTAATTTTCCATCCAGGTAGAACATTCACTATGAGACCTATTATTGTCCCAGTTGTGTTTATTGTTAGAGAAAACCCTAATATTACATGGTATTTCTTCAGGGAGGGAGGCAAATACAGTAGCTTTCTTTCAATTCATAGT